GAATGCCGTATGATGTTTGCTTGGCTGGGGGCTGTGGTGAAAATGGAAGTCAGAAGGGAGAGAGGGGTTCTTTTTATTTAATTTACACTTCCACATTTATATGACTTAATGTAGCCTGCCTCAGAGAAGTACCTCCTGCCTCCTAACCACAGCAGCTCTTCCTTTTAAAACCAAATGTAGGGAGAGGCGGCGTCTGGTCTGCAGACGGCTGCCCTGTCGCAGAGTCTCAAACTGCCGAGGACTACAAAGATGGCCAGTGGGATCTCTGGGAGACCAGAGGGAGGTCAAAAAGCCCATCAGGCCAGCCATTCAGACTGTCCTCAGAGGCTGTTCCTAATGGTTAGTTAGGGAAGGTTTTCTAGAGGACAGGCTTTGAAGTGAGTTTTAAATACAGGACACAGCGTGGCTGGACATGTGTCCAGTGGGGGACCGTGGCAGGGCGTGGGAACACATTATAGACTATTTCCCTCCTCCCTCTTCTACTACTTTTCCGCTCTCTTTACCCTTCTCTTCTCCCCCAACCCCCAGCCTGACTTCTCACCTGCCTTCTCACCTACTTTCCCTCTCTTTTTTCGGGTTTTCTTCTTTCCAGCCTATTTCAGGCCCGGTGGTGGTCCCCGGGATATTGCTTCATTAACTCCGCTGCTGGCTCCATGGTGAGAGGCTGCTCGTGCTTTGTACTCATTGCAGTGGAGACCAGAAGTGACCTGTGTAGGAGTGAGCCCACGTAGGAGCCCAGATTAGAGGAAGAGCCCACAATGGGCTGTGATGGGGCCCTGCCAGGACTCACGACCCAGAGTCATTCTAAGCCATCAAGCTGGCCAGCTGCACCTATTTGATTTTCTGGTCTTCATTCTTCCCGGTGTGTGGCAAGCATGTTCCCACCTTTGTATCTTTGCTCCAGTGAACTCTCCTGCCTGGAATTCCTTCTTCCCATTAACGTTAAGCCAAATCCTTCCATGTCTCCAGACCCCTCCTCCATGACATTCTCTAAAACTGTTTTTTGTGTGTTTTGTTTTTCTCCACATACCCCCTCCCCACACACACACACACACACACACACACGCATGCGCGCGTGCACACACACACATGTGCGCAGCCATAAGCTCTTCAAGGCCAGAACCTTATCCCCTCCCTCCATTTCTGTTCCAAGTAGGATATCCCCCATGGTGCTTAGTAAAGGTTTCTAGATTAATAAAGTTAAGCCATGAGTCTAATCAGGATTCTGCAGGAGTAATTCCCTGGAGACTGGAGTGACCTTAGACCCTGACTCTGTTGAAGTCCAGATATGGTCTCCGGACTTAGAGACCTTAACAAACGCTAGCGGCCTAAAGCCAGAACAGCTGTTTTCAGCCCACTGAGTATGGCAGTGAATTCTTCTGGAAGAGTTTTGTATGTCCAGAGTGAACTGTTTCTTCCAGGGAACCCACCAAGGCTTCATGCTAATGAGCAGGGATCCCAGCCTTCCAGCATGACTTGGATCGATGGGGTGCCACTAGGGCTTCAACCCTTTGGAGCTTTCGGAGCTCGTAAAGGTCACTCCTCAGCACTCCCATTTGGGGCATGTCACCCATCTGCTGTCGTTTCCTGCTGTCCCTCCCCTTCCACATCCCCTTTGCACTTCTTGTTATTCTTCAGACATGTCACATGCTGTCATCTTTGGACATGGTGCTTCCTCTGCTGGGGTCATTCTGTCCACGGTCTGTCTCCCAGACTCCCCCTCATCCTCCAGCTTTGCCAAGGCACTTCTGGACTCACCTACCTAGGCATTTCCCCCTTCCCCATCCTTAATTTTTACTCTGTCAACCCCTCCTTTGGGCACCCATCATACCATATGATTGGTTGTGTGTTTCTGTCACTAAACTAGTGGCTTTCAAGGTTTTCTGACAGCCACTCACAACAAGAAATACATTTTACAGATGACTTTGTACTGTGTGTGTGTGTGTGTGTATATATACACATATATATACATATATACACACATACACACACACACCTATGAAATCTTGTATAGTTTGATATTTTACTGTCTATGTAACATATGAACAGTCTGCAAAAAAAAAAAAAATGCAACAGACAGGGAATTTACTCAAGATTTATTAGAGTATTCAATTTTGGGAATGTTAGCATTCGACATATCCACCATCATTTTGGATATCAAGCATACCCCACTGATACCATTCAGTATAATAGAGGGTGACTTATAGCCTGGAAAAGAAAAAGAAAGGAGTTAGACTAAATCAATCAATATTTTTACTTAAAATTATTACACTTTATAAATTATATCATATCAAAGATAATTTATTAAAAATTCTTTCTGGGCAAGGATTTTATAGAAATCCTGTGTACAACAAACAATTTAAGGGAATGATGCTTACCCTGACTACTTTGATGTACTGGGATTATATTTTCTTCATCTCTCCCTCCTTCCCTTCCCTAGCTAGCTCTCTCCTTCCTCCTCCATCCCCCTCTTCCTCTTCCTTCCTTTCTTTCTCTTATGCTGGTCACCACCTACTAGTTTATTTCATAACTAACAAAATGGGTCATAACCTACAGTTTGAAAAACACTATTCAGGACTCTAAGTTCCTTGAGGGCAGTGACTGTGTCACTGAAGCATTTCATCTTCATATTTCCATACCCTGGCACTATTCCTGGCTCTCAGTTTCCTCTTAGTAAATGTTTTCTGAATGAATGGGCTGCAGTTAAAAAGCTCTGCAGCCACTGGGATTCCGGAAGGGACAGGAGAAGTGAATAATTTATCACAGACTTCCCAAGAGCTCCTGCTGTCCTCTAGACACTAGGGCCATTGTGGATGAGTCTGGGAAGCCTTCCTGTCTCGGCCCTGCCTTCTGCCTCTCCCAACTTCCAGGAGAGAGGGCAGGAGGTTTAATGAAGTTCAGAGATCAGGTTCTCAGGTGGGTGTTGTCAAGGGACAAATGATAAAAAGAGTGGAAGAAAGAATTTTAACAAGCCCTTCATTTCATTTTATATATGTAAACTTAGTCCTCTTAGTACCTGATTCCTGCTACTCCTTCTAAAACCACTATTATGCTGTTTTTCAGCCCATCTGTTAGACGCTGACCACTCCTGACTTTTTTTGAACACTCTAAATCTTTATTATACCATGCCCCATGCCAGGATTTTTCCATTTGGGGAAGAAAAAAATCCCCAAACCCACCAAAACCCTGTGGCTTGGTTTCCTGTCCAGCTGGCTTGCTCTTTCCCAGGATTTTATTCCCATCATCAAAGTGGCTTGACAGACCGAGAACAAACCTCTGGCTCACCCTGAACTCACAGTGTACCATTTCCAAGTCAGAACAAACATCAAGTAATAGGGAGAGAAAAAGAAAGAGAAAAAAAAATTATTTTCCTGACTTAGAAGCCAGTTCAGAGTGAAGCCCAACTCTGATTCCAGACGGCGATGTTCTAAGGCTGAGGCTGAGGCTGAGGCTGAGGCTGTGGCTGTCCTCGAGGGTGGAGCCTCGAACAGTGGACTCCAGGCCAGAATTTCTCTCTGAGTCAGTCTCAAAGGAGAAGCCATGGATGGACTCCTTTGTAGCCCCGGATCCTCTCTGTTTCCTGGAATCAAGAGCAGCAGTCTTTGAGGGAGCCTCCCATGATCTCGTTAGACTATGTTAGACTAGGCCTAGAGCCTCACAGTTATGGGAGCAGTCAGAGTGGTCCCTGCGGTGTCCCAGGAGGCCTGCAAGGTCGGCAGCCTGTGCCAGGTCAAGAGAAGATGCAGGGCTTCCCTGGTGGCGCAGTGGTTGAGAGTCCGCCTGCCGATGCAGGGGACACGGGTTCGTGCCCCGGTCTGGGAAGATCCCACGTGCCGCAAAGCAGCTGGGCCCGTGAGCCATGGCCGCTGAGCCTGCGCGTCCGGAGCCTGTGCTCCGCAACGGGAGAGGCCACAACAGTGAGAGGCCC